ATATTAATGCTGACTGAGGCTTTGTTCTATTCAAAGTATTTGGTTTGTACTTTATATCTGAAAATCTTCGAGAACCAGAATGGCTCTAAAAGCTACTTTGTTAACATTTCAGCTGCCATGTCGATTATGTAATTTGTAAATAATTAAAGAACAAAAGTAAACTAGCAAATTCCTATGTTGACAGATAAAAACAGTATTCAATATTGATCGTTGAAAATATTAGTCATTTAGCTGATATGGTAAAATGTTTAGTCAAAAATGCTTAATCATTTCCGTGTTTTAGGACTCAGCCCACAATATCAAGCTGCATCCAGAAGCCAGTTAGCTTTGTTTGGCATAAAGAAAGAAACAAGCGGGAAAGCTCTCGTGGCTAGCTTGCCAAACAGTACCCCTAAAACGTATACTAATATACAAATTTGTTCGTTAAAGGTGGGGTAGGTACATTTGAGAAACCGGCTCGAGATACACTTTTTGTTATATTCCATGGAATGCTCTTAACATCCCGATAGCAATGAATATCTTAAGTGCTTTGACAAAAAATCCATACAAAAATGTAATCTGTGGAAGCCGTAGTAACCTACTGTAAAAAGCACGACCAATCTCAGCCTTCCATCTGTGCACAAACTTATCTCGTGCCCTCATTGGTCATGTGCGCGTTCGTGTGTGTTGGGGGAGGGGCTCTTTAAGGAAAATTCTAGCGCACTCGAGCTGGTTTCTTCATTCTTACCTACCCTACCTTTAAATCTGTAAGTAAAACAACTGAGGTGTAAAAACGACACCATGTGGCGTATTTTGTTGACATTTCTACAAAGCAAAACTAGATGATCCTCCTGTTACCAATCTGTGTGTTTAGCTAAGCTAACCGGCTGCTGGCTGAAATATTGTGTTAAACAGAGGAATCTGAAATTGCTTCTAATGTTCTAATTTTTACAAATTGTCCCAATATTTTTTTTAAAGCTAGACGCTGTGCAATATTAATAAGTAAATTGGCTGAAATTATAGCTCTTCTCTAACTGTGCTCTTGTTACACTACAGGTTAGCGTGACACAGATAACATATTGGTGTCGGACTCATGAAGATCTTGGGAAACAAGTTTAAGGCAAGTTTAATTTGCACTTATATCATAATTACAACTTGTAGCCACAGTGGCCGCTGTTCAGCAAAAGTAGTGTAGTCTCGCGATAAGTGTTTTTAATAATCAATTCTTTTTCTTCCAGTGAGGTGCATGTAAACACACATCTTAGGACAGACAAAAGCACACCATGACTTTTATCAATCTCAATACAATTGGAAGAATCACAGTTCACAGTACTTTTGTCAAGTTATTTGGCATAAGGGATGTATATTGAGAAAATAATTCAAAAACAGTAGAAAAAATAGCATTTTGCCTTCTTGGGACCACAACATTGTATTTTCTTGTATTTTTTTATCTCCATGCATTCACATATTTCACACAGATACATTTACTCGCTTACACTACTACCTTACTTAAACAGCTTACAAAATAAAACACTATTAAAATGGTGGCCACAAGGCTGTGCAAAAGGGAAGACCTCCAATGTAAGCCCTGCCATCTGTCCGACTTAGCCATCTTTTGCAAGTAACAAACTACAAAATAGCACCATTATACAGTGGATAGGATTCTTAATACAGTTTTATTATATGAAACTATCATGTACAATGAATGATAGTGATGCATAGGTATAACATAAATGGGAGTACTGTTTGATTATACACAGGCAGAGGAGGCAGAGATGAGATGTCTTGGGCGGTTTGTTCAATAAAATGACTTTAAACCTGCATGGAGGCTTGAGCAAACAGCCGGGGCAGTCAGTCCTCATGCAAGGACTTCTTAGAAATGGCTTATCATGAAACGTCTGTGTGTGTGTGTGTTTGACTCTTGCTCACAGTTACACAACTCTCATTTACACTGTGCGTGCTTTGTCTGTGGGTTTGTTAAATGCGTGCTGTATCTCATATCTCCAGGAAGACTTCTTATTTTGATTTGCAATATTAACAAAATTGATTTTTCAGGTGGACTTTGCAACAGATGCTGTGGAGTTTTGTTGTTCCCAAGCCGTAATGGCAGGTAAAGCAGTCCAAGCGACAACTGAAGTAGAAACTAACATAATATATCAGCCCAAGATTGATATCTATCTTTAAACCTCCCATCTTTGCCCCTATTGGAAGAACCTCACCTTCTTTTGCTTCAAACTCAGGTGTTGACAGATTTGGGAAAATATTGTTCCAGAACAATGTTCTACTCTTTTTTTGAAAGCTTGTTGACTTGCCGTGACTAAACTTTCATGAATTGCGCTTAACCTTGAACACAGGCCTCCACTCAGGGACTGGATTGTTGACAAAAAATGTGATTTGGCCACAACAAACATTTTTGCCTGATTATCGTAATTCCACTTATTCCACTGACGTATGTCCAATGCACTTTGAGTCCACTGAACGACCCCTTTCTAAAACCACACAAGCACCATTTAATGAATAGCCAATACACTAAATATCAATTTATCTTCAGGTTAATCTTCCTTAAATTCCTCTCCAATTGGGCTTGTTTGTAGTTATAGAAGTTTTTGGATTTTACACTCAATCTTCAGGTTTTTAACACTTCCTGAAGATTTCGAGGGACCTTTAACCTTGACAGAAACACTGTGCTAGACTATAAGAATTAGGGATTTTAATTTGACCCAAATATTACTACAACAATGTTTAAATGTTAAAAGTAAACCACCTGGTCTTTGTCCTTTAAAGCAAACCTTGATTGTAATAATCATCATGCTGCATAAAAACTCTGACATAAGATAACCAGATGTTAACTGGGGTAGTAACTGTTATGACCGGTGAAAAAGTATCCTGTGAAACCAAAGGAGTGAATGAATCCACTCTCTCAGACTGAATTAATTTACCTCCGTTAAGTTCAGGGGACAGGATGGACAACTCATTCAGAAGCACAGCCTGCTGCTCTCTGATTGGCTGATGCTAAGATCCATTCAAACCTTTTCTGAAGCCAGGGGATGCTGCAGGAGGCATAATAAGCTCTTGTTTGTGCCTCAGCAGCTAAACTAATCTTTTACATTGCATTAACAAAGAATTCCTCCCGATATGGATTGGTGCAGTGTATAAAATAATCACAAGATTCCTCATCAAACCCTTAAACACAGCTTAGCTTTCAGGTTTTAATCATTTTGAAGAGCTTTCCGGACCTTTGTTAGCATCATTTTTGTTTTTCAGTGAACCATTCCACAGGGGTACCAGGTAAGGCCACTCCCTTCTCTCTTCCCAAGCAGCTGGGCATTTGTCCATTCGCTTCTTCCCTACATTCTGTAATTTCTGCCCCCCGTGTTGCCTCGACTTGAGTTTTTCTGATGCACTTCCTGCAATGAAAGATAAACACATTTTAGACATTGAACAGACACCGTAGAGACAGGATCAAATAAGCAGGCTTTGGGACAGATGTAGGAGTTTCTGTATCTACAATCTTTGGATGGTGAAAACAAAACTTGGTCACAGAGGTAAGTACTTTCCTTAAGTCAGGAACTTTTTAATAATTGGCCTGCGAAGCAATAAGAGTTTGCTATCAGGATAACAAGCTGTAGGATAAAATGTCAGTCCAATGAAACATTCTTCAGATTATTGGGCATTGGAATAATTGGCCATCGGAATAATGGGCCATGAGAATAACTGCTAGTTCCAATATTTAAATGGAAAAATATAAAACAAACTATACAAATGTGAGGGTAATGAAAAGATGAACAAAGAGATGAGTGCTTTGAAAGTCACTGCACACAGATATGCACTGAAGGTGACAGGCTTCATATCTGGACCATGCATGTGTCAGTCTGTTTATGGTGAGACGCCAGAATTTCCGCACATAATGTACAGTAGCAGAGTGGAAATTCTGCCTGGGGAGCAGGAGTGCTACTGGGTCTACCACAAAAACCACTTAGTTCTGTCTCTTGCTAATGGTTTTCTTTTTTGAGGGAAGGGTAAAAAGCACAGTGGAATCTTAAAAGGATCACACTCTCCTGCAGGTTTGCAACTCGAGTATGAAACAGAGTCTGCATTTAGATCTCACGTTGTCTTTCTCGGGCCAGATGAGACAAAGATTTCAGAACGGAGATCTAAAAAATAACATGTACAAAAAAGGTAGCCAACAACTTGCATACCTTGAAGGAAGAATGACTATGTCCAGGTAAAGGTCTCTGTGGAAAGAAAAGGAAGATATTTAGATTAGATGTATTAATTTGATTTATAGGCCTACAGCAAGTTAGTAGCAAACTTGAACTTACTTACTGACCATTTAAAGTAACTGAATTAGATAAGAAGTTTGAGACCACTCCAATTTAAAGCTGAATAAACACTGTCAGCCTTCAGCTAGTTAGCTTAGCCTAGCATAACGACTGGAAACAGCTAGCCTTAGTAGGCAATATCAGAAAGTGCCAGGCGTTTTTACCTACTATCAATTTGTAAGCTTTGGGTTAGGTTATCTATTCAATTGGATAAAAGAGTGGTATCAATCTTCATCTAACCCTTAGAAAGAAAACAAATGGATATCAAGTATGCATGCTCCGATAGAAGCTAACAAAACATTCATATTAGGTTTTTCTTACACATTTCCTGAAGAGTACATTTTTTCAGAGTATATCTGTTTGATGCTGTGCTCACCTTCTTGTTTTTTGTCTTGTCTGGTTGCTGTGCTGTCCTACGCTCTGTGCCCTTGTCCACTTTGTGCCCTGCGGTACTAACCTTTGGTGCTCTGGGCAGGTCTGTGTGGCGCTGGGCCCGCACAGAGCGGGCAGCCTTGTTAGGCTTGACAGGTGCACAGTACATCTCCAGGCGCCGCAGCTCACAGCTTTGGAAGCAGCACTCGTCCACAATGCCACGTGACCGCCGTGCATTGGGGCCATAGCCTGTTGGTTTACCTGTTTGAGAGGAACAGTAGAAAGAGTCAAAGTAAGTTACATTTGGGCAAATACAAAGCTGGCGATTATGGAAACTGCCCATTTTTCTGATGGTATTATTACAAAACCCCAATGTGAGGATGAATGATTGATTGGACTGAAAACCTGTTTGTCTGAAGTCTTGCTTTTTCTGAAGTCCAGAACTCTTTGTTCTAATGGCTTATTTACTACAGCGCGGAGCTCTCATCATCTATCATGCTCAATGCACTTTTGTACGTCTTTTATACATGACTGTGTCCCCGGTGTTCCAGAGAACTCACCAAGTGTCAGAAAACACAACCCTCTCTCTTTTCCTCCATACCCAAATCTCTTAAAAAGGGGCTGCAATTGATCTGATACAGACTGATCCAGATTTGAACACTTCTATGACGTCACAGAAGTGGCGCTACGGCTATTGGGCCAACTCCACCGATCAGGAGGAGACGGCCATGGACATTGTCGTTCGAAAGCGCTGGAGACGCTGTAGTACATATGCCAGGCCTGTAGATGGTGCTGTTCTCACAGAATCAGCCCATGAAAAGACAGTATTAAATTGAGTGAAATGAGGAATGGCAAAATGCATGATCTGTTTGGTATTTTGAAAAATAAAAAGTATAAATATGCCTTATATAGGTATGGTAGTACAGTATGTGAACCCTTTGGAATTACCTGGATTTCTGCATAAGTTGGTCATAAAATGTGTTCTGATCTGCACGTTTGAAGTTTGCAAAAGAGCACCTGGATGTTCCACAGCACTATTGGC